GTTCCTCCAGCGGACATGGGCACCTGCCAAACTCAACAATCTGTGAGCTGGTTTCAAGCTGAAGGGCTCACCAAGTCGCGGAATGGTGTCTGTCTCACCGGTCAGGAACTTTGATTTTGCAGTGGTCCACTTTGTTCCGGACATGAATGTGGCGGTCAATTTACGTCAAGGACCAACTGCCGCAGGTGCAACACTGCAGAACCGAGTTCACTGCCGCCATCAGATTCCCAAGTTCAGGTCATTTGGTAGTGGGCTACACGCTGCAAGAGAAGCATATATGTCAACAACCATAAGATGAAGAAGAAGACTTCGCTCACACAATCCTGGAAACTGAGCAGAACTGGTCTGCTTAATTGTCAATGTTCTACATAACTGGTCTGAGGAGGCGGAAGGGTGTCTACTAGGAGCAGGGACACTACTAGGGGCTCCTGGCATCGCTACTAGGAGCATTCTTACTACTATGTTCCTTTCATGTCATTTCCTTTGAGGTCAGCCTCAGTCCGGAGAAAGCCAACGGCAGTGGGAGCTCGTTCTCAGCCGCGCATGCCTTGGTGAGCACATGGCACATGTGTTCCCTGTCTCTTGTGAGGATCTTAGGAAATGTTCATGTCTCCTGTGTGTCTCATTTAGGGCCTTGGTAGGCGCAGAATTTGCTAAAAGTCATATAAACAGTTTGCTGAATTGTTGAACACCTCCAAAAATGGAAAGAAAGAGAAATCAGGTTGACAAATCTGTGGTGTTCTTCTAGAGAGAGGTGTGGGCACTAGAATTCTTGGGAAGGTCTTTGGTGGAGTCCCCTCATTTTAACACACCCCCACATGAGCTACCCAAGGGAACCCCGCGGTATTCTTCCCTGATGTGTATCTTTCCCGCTCTGTTTTGGCAGGGTTTGGGGCAAACTTCACACCTGACCACGACAGCAGGACTGACACTTTGGAGACTTCTTTGCATGGAAAACTGCCTTGAGTTCTCTGCACGGAGCAGGTGGGCCGTTGTCTAAATCCCTGCTTGGTGGGACGACATGCTTTCCACACTGAAATGTTGCACATTAGAAGTCTTGACTCAATGCACCTTTGTCGCTGAACATCCTCGAAAACAAGAACTGAGTGGAGTGACGGTGCGTGCGGGTGCGTGCCAGAAGGTGCACGTGAAGAATCCATGGGCGCAAGAACCAGTCAGGTGATGCTCCAAAATGGTCAGAAAATTGAGGGACCCAAAGAGCAAACTCAGACAGAGCTCCATCGCTCCTTTCCCGGAAGCCGCCGCAGGTGCCACACGCGTGTGGCGCGAGGCGACAAAGCCTCTGCAGGTGCCGATAAAACACGCTCGACTGAGCTGACGCACATAGAGTCGAGATCGCTGCTCGACGGGCGTGGATACCAAGGTGGCCTCGGGCGAGACCGCTGAGACTGTCGGATGTCGATTTAGCAAGCATCAAAGAGAAAGTGAACACGGGGTGTTCTAGTGAGGAGTATGGGATTGTTATCTTATTCATATATCAATATACCCTTTGGAAAAGGCCTATAAAGGCCTTGAGAAAAGGGAGACGTAGCTTTTCTATGTGGGTCTGGTTGTTCATCTCGGTCATTCATTCTTGATCCGATTGATTCACTGCCATTCTTGCTTCCAAAGGTTGGCACATTGTGGAACATGCTCAGTGATTGCTCCGTTCGCACTTTTGTCTCGGAAGGCTTTTCCAGAAGTCACCAGGTCAAGTGATTTCATCAGTTGCCTTGGTCTATGTCTCTCGGACCAAGGCAATTCTTAGGCTATGCAAGTGACCCAAACGCGAGGCGCCGCTTCGTTCGGTGGATTTCGACCGGTGGCTGCGACGACTGGGAACCAAACGTGAGGTCCCAAGTGGTCGAAACCGGCGAAGCGTTCGCAGCGGATGTATTTGGACAACGGTCGAAGCGTTCGCTACGTAGTTTTTTTTGACATGATCATGGACGTGGAAGACCACCTGTTTGTAGAGGACGGCTAGAGGCAAGGGGCCATGCCATCCACGTTTGCCCATGGCTATTCCAGGGAGTGTATCCCATCTGATCGCGTGTTCGTCTCACAGATGAGGAGGTGTCCTTTTGTGAGTGTTCCCGGCAGCTTGATGAGGAAAACCCTAGGTCGATCCATCCACCAACAACCTCAAGCTAGAGCAATCTAAGCTCGCACCTGTTTGATACAAACCAAATCATCTTTGGATAGTCTATTGTCAAGATCTATGATCCAGTACCCATCATGTAAGAACATGAACGAGGTGAGAAAACATAGCCTCAGCTGTCATGTCCACCAGCAAAATCTTCCTCCACATGGTCTTCGATTGCTTGGCGTCTTCTCTCCACACCTCCACTCTTCCGAGGGCGCGACCACCAAGAGATCTCGTTCAGTCAAGTCCATGAGTGCCTGTCTCACGGGGCACATGACATTCATCGGCAGGGGGCCGAACCCTCATGGACACGACCACTGTGGTGTACTTCGAAAGTGTGCCCAGTGACGTTGTTTCTCTACGACGCTGTGCACGTGACACAAGTTTCCTGACCACTCCCCGTTGAGTACATGCGATTGATGTCAAAAGAGCTCAAAGATCTCAAAGTCGGTGTACGCAGGCGGACTGATCTAGAGGGAATCTTACTTGATAGGTCATAGTATGTCAGGACCATGTTTTGGGGTGACGGTCAAAGCCCCCAGCTGCCCCAGAAATGTGCCACAGTGATCCTGGCCGAAACTCTCATCTCAGAAACCAGAATGACCTTGTCAATGTCAAAGACTCTCCCCCACCTGCAGCGGTGCTTCAGCACCCTGCGGAGTGAAGCGCTTAAACCTTGGAGCCAGCCAACCCATGACAGATCCCTTTGAAAAGACTTCTGGCGCAAGAATCTATGATCATCTCTCCTCCAGTCGCCATCTCTACTAACATCTATACTAACTGCCATTCTGGAACCCCCACTGACTTCCAGCTTTGAAGAAAAAGACTTCCAGCTGCGAAGACGGTTCGGTCTCTGGCGCAGAGTCGGGCAGTGCCACCAAGAGCTGCGTAAAGAGCCGCAGCCTCGGCGCGCGTAGATCTCAGTGTGGTTGCTGTGTCCCTATCACATCTGCCCTTGTTGGAACCTAATAGTAATGGCCCTCCAACCTAGCAGCGATGGCCTCCAACCAAATAACACCAAATCTGTAACGACTGAAATGGCGATATGGCCACTAAGAGGGTTCCAAGAGGGTTCTTTTCGAAAGCCTAGGAGGGCTTCTTCCGCCAGAAACAATGATGCCTTTTGCTGATTATTGTTCGGGCCCGACTCTAGTTTGATTTACTGTAATTCTTGAGGCCTTGCTGGGCCTTGCTGGGCCTTGCTGTGTCATTCCCTTTCTCAGCCGTGGCACCGTTGTCGACGCTGGAGCCAATCAATGAAGTATGGCCTGGTATGGCCGTTGTGACGCGAAGCAGACCGGGGCGGGCTGATCTCGGCATCGACCTGGGTGAAGACTCAAGAACCGACCTGAAGACTTCTCAGAGAATTTGGGAAGAAAAACACGAATGAGCACACACCAGCGAAGCAGCACACCACGATTTTGGGACAAAAGAGATTCAAACTCTGCCGCGCTTTGCCAGTGGAGTTCGGACTCAAAGGAAAGGTGCTAACTGACACACACCAGGCATCGTTCGCCGGTGTCCCCGGTGTCAACCGTGAGGATTGTTACGAGATTGTCCATAAAACGATCTCAGGAGAAAGAATAACTAGACAGGTCTCCTCTTCTGACTCTTAGGGAAAGAGGAACCTGCAGAATCGCATTGTCCGGTGGTGAACAAGCCACAAGACAAACGTCTTTCATTTTGAGTAGTGGAACAATCAGAGGTATACTCCGGCCTCTACACATGTGGCCCAAGAAACTGGTCAAGACTTGGCATGTTGGGACGGATTCTCATGCGTGGGGTTCGGTTGAATGAATCGCATGCTGATATTGTACGGCAAACGCCCTCCTACCACGACAAACAGCTAACACTAAATAGCTCCGGCACCAAAATGAAATAGTTCTTTCAAATTAATCCTTGTACCCCTAAGACCTTTTGTTTTGCACCACTTGATCCAACCACAGCACCCAACCAAGCACCCAACCGGAACACCTCCGCCTTCAAAACCTGGCCCCAAAAACAACCACCCCAAACGAGCTCCAACTCCGCTCCGGCCGACGGACGCCTTCCGACCCGATCCGCGGACGCCTTAGGACCCAGATGAGGCCGCGCAAGGGCACCGGCGACTCCGGGGGCCTCGTGGCGGTTTCGGAGTGGAAGACCTGTGGGAGCAGTTCGGTGTTTGGGAATACATGGAGTCACATACTAGAAACCCCTCCTGTGATGGAGGGGAATTTCTGTTGATGGACTTGACGATAGTCTTGTCCTTACAGGTCTATCCATCTTCGAGATGTCCAAAACCCCTTCACCAACGAAAAAAGACGAAGCGCCGGTGGTGGAGCTTTGGCGAAGCATATCTTTCAGAGAAGGAACACTCAAATGGACTGCAGATGTAGTTTTTCAGGGTCGACCTTGGACGACCTACTGGAAGGTTAAGCTACATGGTGGACCAGGGCTCCAGGTATTTTTAATGCCGCGGTATCAGCAAGAGTCAGAAAGAGACTGGCTGACCTGACCTTCCTGCCCTTTGATCCATCCCCATATGATCCTGTGTCAGCCAAACCGCCAAAACGTGCTTGTCGGGAATGCGCTGACCTGCGGTTCCTCCTTCCACTGCGGTTCTTCCAGGAGAACCAAAAATCACGGACAATTCGTGAATTCGATTCGAGGATAAACTGGTTGGCAAGGTCTGCAAGAATCAAACAATCTTTGTGAACTGGGTAGAAGGAGGGCTAGAATGACTTCAAAAGCCATATCCTAGTGCATCAAGATCCAGTCCCAAAAACAGCCCCCCACATTAAACAAAAAAGCACTGAGCAAGTAATTCTTTGAAAGAGTTTACTAGAGTTCACTAGAGTTTAAAACTTACCCAGCAGCCCAACAGAGTCCGGAGCCACCACCCCTTCCACCACTCGTCGTGACATGCTCCGCGCGTCTTTTCTCTCAGAGCTCGCCGTCGTGACTCGACGCTCTCGACACACGACTGCCGTGACAGACAGCACGCTCCTGGCGTCGACCGGTGGACCACTGAAAAGGAACTGTTTTTTGTGTTTTTTTCCTATCAGGGATGTCAACCTTCCATTGTTTGGCGGGGGTTTGGACCCACTGCCATATGGAAACGGAGAGGTTCTGAGCCAATGGATTGGCAATCGACTTCTTTTACTCCAAGGAACACTGGAAAAATAAAGGTAGAAAACCTATGAAAACGTGCCATAAATCTCTTCAGCTAGTCATCGCACTGATGATCGCAGCGCCCTGCCCAAAGCCGTCACCTCGAGGTCCTCCCGCTGCCATGCCGGTGGCAAGCGCTCCATCACCTCCCACAGAGACGAAGCAAATGCGTTGAACGACACGGCGAAGTCATGGACAGGTGGCTGGGCCCCTGGGCCATGCTCAAAATCACCAGGTGATTCAAACAAATCCAGGAAAATCCACCCGCTCCGGGCCCTAAAACGAGCCCTCTTTGGGGCGAGAAAGAAGCTGGTGCGAGCATCGGTGGAGCCAGCCAGTCCCTGCTCCCTGAGGAGGATCCAATTCGACATTGAGACATAGATCCAAGAAGGGGCCCCTTCAGACACGGCGGCTGTATGGGCCTTCTTGTGAATCAAGTGGTATGGGTGCTGAACTTTACAAGAAGAGATCCCTTGACAGGAAGATCTCGGCAAGAAAATGAACAGGCTGCTGTTAAAACGGCCCTTTCTTGCCCTGGCACCGCCACTGAACCCCCTGCACCGCGCCGCCAGGCGCACCTAATGCGCTCCGCCACGGCGCTCCGCACCGGTGGCCTCTACGGACTGAAACTCCACCGGTCGAAAGAGGTAGCCCTGCTGTCGGTACCACCTCACCGTCCTCGCGCTTGTCGCGTGCTCGCGGCGTGGAGTGTCGAGCGGGCGGTTTGGGAGAGGTCGGGACCGCGTGGGAGCGGATGGACCTGTGGGAGTGAGTTGAAGCCAGTAAAGCTACCGAATAAGGAAGATGGGCAGAGAAGATGTTTCATTCATGCCCACATTGAGCCCCAAGCAAGGTCTTTGAGTGGAAGGTCCAGAATGAGAGGTTTCTGAAGGCGCCGACTTTGTCAACATCAAGCCACCAAGCTGCAGGTGCCGGTGTCTATTCCTTTCCCGCGCAGGACCCGAAGGTCTTGCCAATTCATACGCCATGCTGCATGGGAGGAAGACTCATGCGTGAAGATCATGTGATGCAAATGCTTCAAGAACCATTGTTGGGCAGGCCAAAGCTATCCAAAGCTATCCAACCTTGCCAACAGCTTGACAAAGGATCCAGAAGCTCTCGAACCGCCAGTCCTTTCCAGTCCTTCCTTCAGACCCACGGTGGACGTCACGCCAAAGTATTCTTTGACCTCGGCACACCGTACGGCACTGGATCGGTGCTCTTCGATCGACTTTTTCCCATGACAGGAACCTTCCAGTTTGTACCTTGGACCGTCCTTTCAGACATGCCACTTGAGCTCCTGGAAAGAATGTTATCTGAGTCTGAAGTGTTTCACTTTTCAAAGACTGGAAGTGCTACGCTCCCTCCAGACCACTCCACCAAAGAATCATCCGGGTTCGGTGCATAGTAGTCTAAGGTACTGTCATTTTAAGCATTTCAAGCAAGTCACCAGTTCCAGACTTGCCATGATCACGTTTCTCTAGGCCCTAGGCCAAACTTGCAATGTGGAGGGTTTGATATCTTCCCAAACACATTTAGGGCACACTCCAGTTTAGAACCTATCCAAGTGGATGTCACATGTCCATGGCCAACCAAAAAATGGCCTTCGAGTGATCCCCACCTGCCCCCCAAAAAAAGTCTAGAGACTAACACCTAAAAAGAAAGAACCGCGCACGACCAAGTCCCCGTGTTTTGCACCGCGTCAAGGAAAAAGAACCCACCCCCGGCGCCGCGCCGCTTCCGGGCGCCTTGTCGTGATTGGACACAGCCACTTCCACCTCCAACCTCGCCGGTTGGATGCTCCGAGGATGTCCCGGGGCGCCCGCGGCCTCGCTCACGGCGTGCGCCAACTCGTTGACCTCGGGGACCGACGCGTCGCAGGTCGCGCGCCGCTTTCGCCGGGAGGGCTTCGGACGCTGCAGAAGTTGGGTTCGTGGAAGACACGTTGGAAAGGTGTTCACTGAATGATTCAAGAGTCGTTCCGCGCGTCAAGAGTCGTTCCGCGTGGGTGGCAAATTTGGGGTTCTCTCACGAGCCACCGCCAGTGTCGTGTGCAAGCAGCTGTCAATGTAGGCTACGTCAAGCAGTGTGCTTTGCTGAGACTGCAAGATCTCTTTCAAGAGATGAAAAGCACTGAGATCTATGCCTTACACCAACCATGTGTCCACTGTCTTTGTTAATCTGCGGCAAAAAGACTCTTTAAATGAGAAACAAGCTGTCACGGCCCTGGACTACCGTAGATGTCCTCCTGGAATCGCAAGAAACAAACTTACAAATGCCGGCCCAGTGATAGATGATTGATAAAATTGAGTAGGAATCCATCCAACAAGACTTTGCAATCAATGGCCTACACTACACCCTTGAAGGCACTAAAGATCAAAGGCAAAAAATCAAGCTATTGGCACAACCCAGAAATCTGGTGAACACTTGAACGATCTTGAACGAAACCTCCCAGAACCTTCAGAAGAAACACCAAGAGCCCAAAGCGAACAGAAAACTTCGACAAACATCATGACTGGCTCAAACTGAACAGAAACTCTCAGAACCTGCCTTATCCCCTCGGTTCTCCCCAAGTCAATCCACCCACCCCATCCTGCCACCCCACCATGCACAACTTCCCAGCCACTGCACTTCCAATCCCTTCTACTTCGACCTTCTTGGAACCCCTCCACACCATCCCACTCACCAACCGGTCACACACCGAGCCGAGCGACGCTGTAGGCCACATCCGCACCCACGTTGAAGATCTCGTTGCGCGCGCGGTGCTGCAGCGGTCCCCGCGCCAAGATGGGCGCCACGTCGTCGATGTAACTGAAGGCGCGCAACTGCTCACCGCTCCCGAAGATCGTCCTAAGACGGTGCTTGTCGATGTAACGGTGGCGTCGTCGATGCCCACGGTCGCCGGGAGTGTCGTGCAGGCACCGAAAACGCAGGCACCGGCTCTTTTGAAGACGGGTGGGGGATGGGCTTTGAAGGCTCTTGCTGCGTTCGTTGAGGCAAATGGGGAGTCCAAATATGAGTGAAACAGTTCGGAATGGTTCCGGAGAAACGGAAAGAAAGAGTCGAATCAGGGGAACGCGGACGTCCAACGATGGATCAAAGCGCAGACTGAGAGAGTTCTGGAAGAGATGGGGGAAGTGAGTGATGTGCCAAAACACAAGTTGTTGCCCTGCAAACCTGGCTAATCCATGCTGCCTTTCAACGTTCGTGACTCCAGCATCTCCAGCTAGCAAAATCAAAGTGTTCATGACTGCAATAGCTCCATAGAGACTACCACCCGGTCGCTTTGCCAAGCATCAAGGGTTGTCCATGGAAGATCTGGTTGATGAAGATCCCCACGACGTTGCGGTACTTGTCGAACATGTTCTGTGAGTGGCTGGAAAAAGGGCTCCGATTTAATCTAGGATTTGTTTGTTTTTTGTTGTGATTTTTTTGTTTTTCGTGTTTCGTGGCAGGTGCAGTACTTTGTGGACCTTGAACTGCTACTTTGTGGACCTTGCAATGCACATTTCGTGGCAGGCGCAGGACTTTGTCGATGTTGAAGTGCGGATTTCGTGGCAGGCGCAGGACTTTGTGGATGTTGAAGTGCAGATTTGGTGGCAGGTGCAGGACTTTGTGGGACTTGGAGTGCAGATTTCGTTGCAGGCGCAGGACTTTGTAGACCTTGCAATGCACATGTCGTGGCAGGTGCAGTACTTTGTGGACCTTGAAATTCACATTTCGTGGCAGGCGCAGGACTTTGTCGATGTTGAAGTGCGGATTTCGTGGCAGGTGCAGGACTTTGTGGATGTTGAAGTGCAGATTTGGTGGCAGGTGCAGGACTTTGTGGGACTTGGAGCGCAGATTTCGTGGCAGGCGCAGGACTTTGTAGACCTTGAAGTGCAGATTTCGTGGCAGGTGCAGTGCTTTGCGGGCCTTGAAGTGCCGATTTCGATTTCGTGGCAGGTGAAGGACTTTGTGGATGTTGAAGTGCAGATAGATAGATAGGAAAGAAATAAAGATAGAAAGAAAGATAGAAAGATAGATAGATCGAGAGATAGATAAATAGATATAGACAGACAAATGGATAGGTAGACAGATTTGCATTGGAATAGTGTATCCAAGACGAAGTCGCGATCGTTCAGAGGCACCGCCCTTCCCGGCAACAGGAGCTTGGGAACGGACGGCCACGCGAACGCTTCGTTGCCGTCGTCGACGAGCGCATTGCCATCCAGCTGTTTCTGCATGAACGTCAAAAGTTCTTCCGTAGTCAGAGACGACGGAGATCGCCCCCTCAGATCCAACGCGGCAGACGCCTTTTCGGCCACGGCACCTGCGGTCTCTCCCGAGTGCACCTTGGCGATCACAATGAAAAAAACCCGAGATATTCACCAAACATGCTTTGCAAAAACACGTGCAAACACTTCTGCACGCCACAAAAACGCACATACAACGGACACTCGAGCCTGCATGGAGAACCGCCGTCTTCGAGCCGCTGAGCGTCTTCACCTTCAGCTGACTCTTGCGCACGCTCATGGTCATTACGCCCGTCTACAGAGCTTTGAACTAGCTTTGAGCGAATGCGTGGAATTCGAGCCTATAAGAACAGCGGCAGAAGTGTAGCGCTGCAGGCATCTGCGTAACCACTAGTGACTGTCATATTATTCTACTGCGTCCTGTTGACATAATAAAATCATACTCTCGGCATGCACGCCTTCGTTTTTACGGCATCTCATCTCCGTTTCAAAGCCCGAGCTTTGCCTTGCTGCGTTGAAACCCCCGGTAACATTCTATCAACAAAGGGTCCAAGTGCGTGCCGGGCTGAAGCACGACGGTCGTCGCTTCCTCGCTCTGCCGCCCTTCTTCATCGAGCGCTTCTTCCAAGACGAAGTCGCGATCGTTCAGAGGGCATGGGAACGGACGGCCACGCGAACGCTTCGTTGCCGTCGTCGACGAGTGCATTGCCATCCAGCTGTTTCTGCATGAACGTCAAAAGTTCTTCCGTAGTCAGAGACGACGGAGATCGCCCCCTCAGATCCAACGCGGCAGACGCCTTTTCGGCCACGGCACCTGCGGTCTCTCCCGAGTGCACCTTGGCGATCACAATGAAAAAAAACCGAGATATTCACCAAACATGCTTTGCAAAAACACGTGCAAACACTTCTGCACGCCACAAAAACGCACATACAACAGACACTCGGGCCTGGAGAACTGCCGTCTTCGAGCCGCTGAGCGTCTTCACCTTCAGCTGACTCTTGCGCACGCTCATGGTCATTACGCCCGTCTACAGAGCTTTGAACTATAGCTTTGAGCGAATGTGTGGCTGCTGTCGACGACGCAAAGAATTAGCTCATCTAAATCGAGGGAAACCGAGAAAATACAGGTGGTGGACGTTTCGTTTTCTAATCTTCAATTTGCTCCATCTGAAGATGATATTGCATGTTCTGATCGATGCGCGGTGGTTCCTCTCGTATCGCTTTGGAATCTGAATATAGTAACTAGCCCGCATAAGTTCCCGGGTTTCTTCCCCTCGCGGCTGCGATGCCGATGCCTCCAACCGGTACTTGCGATTCCCCGAGTAGTGCAGGCGCACAAATCCGTGTCGAAGCAGGTGGTTGCACCGGAACTCCGCAAACACGCGCCGAGCCCAAAAGTCGTCCAAGTTCTTCACCGTCAGCTCAGAGCACGGAGCCAGGATGTAGCAATTCTCGATGGGATGCGGCGCCCCGCGTTGCAGGCTCGTGAACTTGCAAGCCAGGAGGTTCGCCAGCGGATTCACGCAGGCACCCCGCGGATGCCCCCCTTGGCGTCACATCTTCCTCTTCGGTGTCGCTATGTGCCGGACGCGCGTACTTCTCGGGGGCGGGCAACTCCAACGTCATCTGCCGCACCCGCAGCCATGCGACCGCGGTGCGATACCGTCTGGCGCGCGCCACCGCGGTGGCCTCGCTGGTCGACGCCCTTGAAGACGGTGTCATCAGTGTCAGACCCACGGTGCGAGCCCACGCTGCCGGCAACAGCTTCTTCGCCATCGATCGGTTCAGGACCAACGGATCCCAGGCCGGGCTGTTCTCCTTCAAGAGTCGATGCATGTTGCGGCTACACCGCAACATGCCGACCTTCGTCCTTGCGTCGACGAAGCCCAGCACGCCCGCGCGAGTGTCGCATCCCAGGGGGCCGATTAAACGCGGCGCTGGGCGCGGCTCTCTTTGCAGCGCTCTTTTGGTGGAAACGTGTGGAGCTGGTACGGCCGTCCTCTTTCGACAATGATTTGCAGATGTGACAATTGCCAGAGGAGGAGCAGTGGCGATTATTGCGGGAGGAGTAGCCGTTTTGCGGACGGCAATGGTAACAGGAGGAGCGGCAACCGCGGCATTGGACTCGCGAGGCCGAGGAGCGGCAACCGCGGCATTGGACTCGCGAGGCCAGCCACTTGGCCACTGCCTCAGCACCTGCAGCTGAGCCTCCAGTACGCTCTTCTGCATATTTGCCTGAACCAAAGCGCCCCTGCCTGCTTCTAACAGATATCTGTCCACGGCCTCCAACTCGCGCTGCAATAGCATTTGCTCCAATGCGATCTCGCTCAAACCATCTGCACCTGACGAACCGTATCCTGCGGCACGGGTCTCCAACATCCTCTTTTGGAGGGCGGCATAGTGTTTCGAAACGCGCCACATCTTGTCGCTGTTCTTCTCGCACGCGCCGTCAGCCTCTTTCACCAATGCGATGCAGGCATCTCGCTTTGCCTCGGCAAGCGCCTTACGCAACACAAACATGGCGCCGAAATAGGCAGATTTGAGATGCTGTTAAATATAGGCTGCGGGCGGATGCGTGCGTGGATCCTACTTGGTGGTTCCGTTTTGGCTAGGGAACTTGTAAGTATCTTGTAAGTGGTTGGTAACTTAGTTACGAAGGGGTTACAAGTTCTGTAACTAGCACAAGTTTTTATGTTAAGATGTGGCACTTGCAAGTTAGTTAGCAAAAGATTGAAATTTCTAAGTTCTATATCTAGATTATCAAAAATTAGTCAAAAATAAGTTATAACTAACTTAGGGAACTTAACTTTTTTGAGATATCAAAGTTCAAGTTTTAACATTTATACAAAAACTGATTAAATCGTGTCTTTTTGCACTTTGATTCTTAAACTTGAAATCGAGTTCATGCTCCGATCGCATGTTCATCACGCAGCTCACTGAGCCGCATGCCGTCTTGTCATGGTCATGGCTGATTCATGATGGATGTTGCTCCTGTACAAATAAAAACACGCGGCTCATTGAGCCGCAGGTTGTGTCTCACGCAAAAATATGTGTATATATATATATGTATATATACCGTGTGCCATCTTGATCATGGCTGATGATGGGTGTCGCTCTTGTTTCAAAATAGACGACAAATGAAAAGCCTAAGAGACAAATGAAAAGAAGTGGGAGACAAGCCAGCCGGGAACCCGACCACAAGCACCCAGCCTGGGAGACAATGAAAAGAAGTGGGAAACAAATGAAAAGAAGTGGGAGACAAACGAAAGGAAGTGGCCTGGGAGACAAATGAAAAGAACTGGGAGACACATGAAAGGAAGTGGGAAACAAGCCAGCCGGGAACCCGACCACAAGCACCCAGCCTGGGAGACAAGACCACTGCAGCGAAGAATCCAAAGTGTGCCCAGACTGCCTGGCCAAGCACCTGCTGTTGGCCGAAGCCTTTTGCCACGAGGCCGAGCCTCTCGTGGCACCGCGATCCTACGTCCGCAGTCGTCGAGCCCTAGAACGGCTGCGGGAGGCTTTGGAAAGGGGTGACCATTAGCCAAAGATATGCAAGAACTAGCACAACGAGCGAGACGCGCGCTGCCATATATGATGAGCCCCCCCCCTTTTTCTCTCGCGCACACATCTGCTTCGATCGACCGTCGCGCTACCTACCGACCTTGGACTATCACGTCTCGGTGGCTCTCGAACATGTGCTTCGCTAGCTCGCGTCGGACGTCGCCCTTCTGCACCTTCTTGCTCTTCCAGCACACTGGGCACCGAAGCTCGACCTGCCCGTCGCGGTTCTTCTCCTTTTGCTTCTTCTCGGAAACGAGTCTGCGATGTCCGCGACGCCGATCGCATCGGTGGTGATCGCAATGATGGCGGCGGCGCTTCGCCGGAGGAGGGGCTTCTTCTTCCCCTTTGGCTTCTTCAATCCCATCCTTGGACTTGCCCATGTGCGCCAGGAGGTCATGGTCCAAGCTCCGGCGCTTGCGGCGGCAAACGGCATCATCACGATGGCTGTGGCGGCGGCGCCTGCACTTTGTTGCGCCATCCTTGCCACTTCCCCGTTTGTCCGGCTCTCCTCCTTCTCCCGCTGACCTGCCCATGTACGCGTCGAGCTCGCGGTCCAGCTGCTCCTTC